TTGGCAATGTGGCCTCTTTCTGCACACATACAAACCAACCCCTGGCACCACCCTCTGCCACAGATCCAATGGTCTAATGGTTAATGCCATGGACTTTCATGTGGGAGGTCACTGTTCAAAACCCAGCTAAAGCAGCTTTAACAGAAAATCTCTACAAATTTCACATTGTCACACAATTACCTTAATTACAAACACCTGCTGGCTTGACAGGCACAAGCTGGTGTAGAAAACACATTTGAACTTGGTCACATTTCATTCTGCAAGTCCACTGCTGCAGGCAAAGACATGCCACATGGCAATGCACACTTGTTTTTACATCGTAAAAACCCATGTCTAGTTTAGATTCTGTTTTGTTATTTCTGATCAGTCTGTCCTCCAGTTCAGTTCCATTGGGCCACACCCACCTGCACCTGATCTCAGTTTCTCTGCACAGGTGTAGCTGTTTTGGGTTAATTAGCTGGGCTTTATGATCCCTGGAGATCTGTTTGTTCCTCAGTTTGGTATTGTACACGGTCTCAGTTGTGGCTTCCCTTTTTGTGTGTTTAATCCCCACAAGTTCCACTCTGTAGTTTTGCTGCCTCTACAGCTTGTTGTTTTGTTTAATCATTTAATTGTTTTGTTTTAATAGGAGAAGTGTCTGTGAGAGTGTTGACTGAACCTTTGGTTGAAAACCTTCACCCATGACATAATCAATGAGAGCCTTTAGTTTCAAACCGTCCCCCTCTCTGTAGTGAGGAGCCAAAATCAGGTGTGAAACAGTGTTAGGCATCAACATAAAATAAATCAGGAGAAAAATTCAGTGCTTCTTGCAGTGACCATCCTTTAACTCCTTGGTGGACACTACTGGTCAAGGAGGCTCAGACTAAAGAGTTCTATCAACCCTTGGTTGCTGGCAGGACTGTTGTTGACCTCAACCAGTGATGTTGGAAGGTGGAAGCAATGCTTCCTGGACCTTCTCAATCCCACCGACACATCTTCTATGGAGGAAGATGAGTCTGGGGCAGGGGTGGGCAATCCTGGTCCTCGAGGGCCGCAGTCCTGCATGTTTTATATATTTCCTGCTCCAACACACCTGATTCAGTCACTGAACTACCTCTTCCAAGTTCTGCTGTACGGAGGACCGACACTGACATAATTAGAAATAAAAGCAGAAATAAATGAACCACTAAATAAATAAATACGTTTAAAAT